ACTCACAAATATTTATTTATTTGTCATAATTCTAATAAATAAATAAATAAAAGAACTAACGATTATTTCTAGGTATTATATTTATTAAATTATTCTAGTTAATGTTGTGAAAGTATTTAAAGATATGTCTTTATTTTAAGACATTTTTATGTTCATACATTCTTTTTATAGATACAAGCATTTAAGTAAATGCTCTGACAATTAAAATAATGGTCGGACTTTGTCCATTTCATAATGTGTGATGTCATATGTCTTTATCTAAAAAGAAACGGGAAGAAAATAAAAAGTGATAAGTGAAAGGAAAATAGAAATATAACCATATCACAATGTTTAGTAAGCTCGGCTCTCTAAACATTATTACTAGGTTAATTTCAATTCTAAGTGCTCGACGCACAAGGCCCTGTACCAATATTTGCTAATCTTAGCAAATATCAATTTAGACGCTTAAATCGTTGTTAAAGACTATCAAACTAGTTTCGAAGAACATTACGTTTTTTAATGACATTTTTTTCCGCACTTAAGAAGCCATGATTCTCCATAGATTTTCTTTATTGATTCTGAATTGCAATGGTTTGAGAAAAGACAATAAAGTGGTATTTCGTTCTCTCCTGAACTGTTTGTTGTCCTTCTCTTAGACTGGCAGCCGCTTAAGTCTACAATGTTATTTAACCCATAGCTGGTACAGAAGAGATAGATATATATCTTTGATTTAAGGGTATTTACTCGAAAGTAAACGAAACAGACAAGAGTGGTATTTGAACTTGGATTGCCGAGTCCTCTGTCTGGGCTGATAACTGCTACTTCTGTTCTTAATTTGACTCTGACTAGAAGTCCGATATTCTCACCGTTGGCTTGTGTTCAGTTTAGTCACTGTGATGGTGTACGAGCCAAAACGTGATGTCGTTACCTTTATCCTCAAATGACTTTTTATGCGTAAATAGTAGAATAGACCGGGTTCTATAGCGTTGAATGGTCTACCGCAGAAAGAAATGGCAACAAAAAATCTGCCTCGTCAGTCATGTATCGAAAGATACATGATCCCCTAAGCGTGTATCATGTACTGCACATAAACAGACTGACAAGGCCAATAGCATGAGTCACCCAGTGAGGATCTATCTCACTATTCAGTTGTAGTTAATATAGCGAAGCAAGCTCGCTACTGCAACACGCCGAAATGTCAATTTACTAAGATGTGGCATAAGGCTGAAAATATGGAGCACTTAGTGAGAATCGAACTCACTACTCAGTAGTAATTGATACGGCGTTAAGCCTTACACCAAGTGGAATTGCTCTGTCAGTATCTTGTTTGATTGTTATATATATATATATATATATATATATATATATATATATATATATATATATATATATATATATATATATATATATATATATATATATATATATTGGGAACTATTTATATATCGGAAAATAAAAGAAAAATATCGATAACTATATTATTTTATATATCTATTTACAATATGATTAACAATCTTTGAGTTACATGATAAAATCACACAACACCAAATAAGTTATTGTAAATATTTCTATAGGATTTAGGAATCGTAGAACCGAATTCAAATTCCACTCAGATCCAACACATTCTCTTACGTGCTAATACCCTTGGGAAACGTATAAATCATCTTCTTTCTAACCCCCACCCAGCTATGGGTTAAATAGCAGGACAGACCTGGTTCTATAGCATTTGATGGCAACTGTCTACCGCAGAAAAAAATGACAAACTACTCTCGGAAAAAAAAAAAATCTGCCTCGTCAGTCATGTATCGAAAGATAAGCGTGTGTTACGCATGACACATAACTGACTGAAATATCTCAAATTAAATCAGATATATAAGATGAAATTCCTGGGGTCTATTTATAATAGAAATATAAACATATCTCAAAAAACGTTTCTTGGTGAATTGTAAATCTATCGTGAATAGATCGACTTGATTATAATAATCAGATAGTTTTGTACCAATAGTATTATAATAATTTAGTTGGAGTGTATTGGGTATATCGTCTGTGGTAGTACCTTTGCAGCGAAGCGGTTGACTCAGATTAAGTTAAGAAAGGTACTGGTCCACGGCCTACATCCAACTCTCATACATAACCCCAAGAAGTCACATGGGCACTGCGACGGCCAAACTTCGATCAACGGAATCGACTTGCCGGCTAAACAGTGTGAGTCTAGTTGGAAGGGTTTCCCGACCCGACCGGTGAAAAAGAACGCCTTTACCGAACTCACCTGTGACAAGCGGCCATCGGACTGTTTCCAGCCTGGGCTTAGGACCTGAGCCTCAGCCGATTTGCCAGTGGACGGGAAACTAATGAGAGTGGGGATGGGGAACCTCAACGTCCCAGGTGCATAAGAAACTGGGAAATCAATCCACTATTTTGCCTTGAATGTTGCCATGAATCATAATTGGAGGGAAATGGTGGACACAGCGACACGCAATGCCGCTAACTGAATAAAAAATGATGAGGATAATAGTTTAGTGATAACTTTGTAATTTCATGACTTATTTCTTATTTCTTTACAGATAAGTCCACCTTGTACAGGGCCCGAGCGGCACTCGAGGTAGAGGGTTACATTAAGAGGCAGTTTATGCGGTTAGGAGATAAAGATAGCGGTTAACCCTAGACTTGAACAGGTTAAGATTGTAGTGATCGGGATAACATCCACCCTGGTGCACAGTGCAGTGACTCTTGGAAGGAAGCTGTTCAAGTGGAACTTACTTCACACCGATGGAATACGGACGGTGTGTGGGTGAGGCTTGCTACAATTTGAATGGCATGACGGGTCCTAACCCTGAAGGTTAGAACTGGCCGAACCATGGAATGCAGTTCGTCCGAAAACTTTCTTTCAGTCAGAGGCTTGCCCCACCACCTTGTATTTTTTATTTATCTATTGGATTCTTACCTAATTAGGTCTGTTTGTAAAGGTGAAATATCCAAAGCAAAATTAGTAATTCGAATTAAAACTGTATTTATTAGTAATTCATTTTCACGACTTACGTTTGAGGCACTTCGTTGCACGTTTCCCTTGTCAGCTGTGTTTAAGCACTGGTTAAAGATAACGAAAGAAACCTATAAGACTGAACGAAGTCCGTCCTTTTTCGAAGCTTGTTTATTGGCGCTACACAATCACAAAGAAATATCTGTATAACCAGATCACTTGAGAATTATCAACAGCAGTAACAACTAAAATGGATAGCACATGTAACTCGATGAGAAAACAACATTATCAAAATGTTGTCGTTCCAGAATAATTCAGACAAAGGACAAGGAAGGAAACTTCCATTAATGTCAGGATCAATTGCAATTTAGTATAGTAGATAAAGAAATTGAAAATAGAAGAGTCTGAAGTAGTTTTTATCACCATCACAAATTGCTGCAAAACCAAACCATTCGTCTGACAACTCAAATCTCGTTCGATCGAAACTGTCATGTGGATGTCACGCATAGCATCAAACACCTCCAGAAATATCTAAACTATCATCTGTATACAACCGCTTTCTGAGATAGTGATTTTTCAAGCGTACCTTGGATGTGGCACAAGGCCGAAAGTATGGGGGTACCCACTGAGGATCGAACTCACAACTCAGTCGTAATTGTTCTAGCGAGACAAGCTTTTTAAACATTACACCGCCTCGAGGCGCCCATCTGCTTTTCTGAGATAAATGGTTAATAATGGCTTTGAGCCTACGAAGCCTGTGGGTCTTGGGGAAGATTATATTCTTCAAACATTGTGAACAGGGACGACAGAATCACTAAAAAAGAACAGTACAAAATAAGAGAAACCACATTCCTTGAGCACTTTCAACACCTCCAGCAACTAAAATGGATAACAGATGTAAATCGGTGAAAAAACAACATCATCAAAATGTATTTCCACAGTACTTCAAACAAAGGACAAGGAAGGAAACCTCCATTAACACTAGAAAGAACAATAACCGTTACTGGACTTCCCTAATAAATTGTCTTAATAAAAGTGCTGCTGTCGTTTGAAACTTATAAATATATATGTTCGATCACTGAATTCTGAATGTTTCCTTATAGGGAAAAGGCTAATATTAAATATTCTAGTCTTTTATAATAAAACAGGTCCTATTCGAGTTGAAAAGAATTAATAGCAAACTTTGGCTTTTTCAAAATATTTAGTTTGACTAGTCTGGCACAAGGCCGTGCACATATGTTATTAGGGCGAAAGAACTCTCTAAGCTGTCTTAATGGTCTATCACACTAAATCGTTTAACATTATCCTACGAGGAGAATCTTAAATTGATCAACAGAACTTACAAATAGATACACCCAAGTTAACACAGAGGGTTTAATTAAAAGCAGATCTCTGTAAAAGTAGTCAAACATTTTTTTAGAGTCAATACAACTCAAAAAGGGGAAATAAATCACCAAGGATAGACTACTCAACCGACAGAATATCAAGCTGCTTCTGTTTTTACACATTCATGGCAGTGACTTTATCGATTAAGCTACAAGGATTAACTGGCGGGAGTAAATCAAAGCAGTTCATGTCAAAACATATCGAGTCTCATCACTAAGTTGTTTTATCTTTCTGCTGTAAACGGCTTATAAAAGATCGCAGAAAGAAGATCTCAGAGTTTCCATTTGTGTCGTCGTTCAAATGTCTGTACGGTTTGATTTTTTTTATCTTTTGCAGACAATCTTACCGCGGGAAATGATTATGACAACAAACCCTAGTCGACATTGCTAAACCTGAAAGGTAGATAATGTATAAAAACTGATGACTAATATTTGCAGCGTCTGATACAGAATTGTGATTGTATCATAGAAATATAAGAACTCCTCTTTTCCTCGCTGTTGTCATCTGTCGCACCATTTCTTTATGGAACTCGGGTATAAATATGCGTCGTCTTTACAGTGTCGGATCACTAGAAGACAAAGTTTGATTTAATAGCATTAAATTTTTAAAAGCCTTATTAAATCTATGTCTTTCACTCTCTTCCAAACATCTGAACCAAAATGAAAAATATGAAAGTTGTGAATCTGAATGCCAATCAGAAGAGAGAGAGAGAGAGAGAGAGAGAAAGAGAGAGTGAAAAGTAAAGAAAGGGATACAATTGAAAATGAATGTGTCAGTGTATGTGTGCCATGGTACTGGAATGGTTTCTCAGCGAAAAGAATTGGATTGAAGAATTAGAATGACAAGGGAATGGCATGAAGTATAAGAAGTAGAACAAGAACGACAAAAGAAACATAATGAAAAAGAGGAAGAGAAGGATAAAGAAAAAGAAGGAAAAATCGCAAACGGAAGAGGGAGAGAAAGAAGAAGAAAAAGAAGAAGAAGAAGAAGAAGGAGAAGAAGAAGAAGAAGAAGAAGAAGAAGAAGAAGAAGAGAAATAAGTAGATGGAGAAGAAGAAAAAGAAGTAGGAGAAGAAGAAAAAATAGAAAGTAGAAGAAGAAGTGGAAGAAACGGAATAAGAAGAAGAAGAAGAGAAAGAAGTAGAAGAAGAAGAAGAAGAAATACAAGAAAAAATAGAAGAAAAGAAGAAATAGAAGGAGAAGTAGCTAAAGAAGTAGAAAAAGAAATAGAAATAGAAGAAGAAGGAGAAGAAATAGAAGAAGAAGGAGGAGGAGGTGGAGAAAATATAAAAGAAGAAGAAGAAGAAGAAGAAGAAGAAGAAGAAGAAAGAGAAGAAGAAAGAGAAGAAAAAGAAGAAGGAGAAGAAATAGAAGAAAGAGGAGGAGGAGGCGGAGAACAAATAGAAGAATAAAGAGAAGAAGAAGAAGAAGAAGAAGAAGAAGAAGAAGAAGAAGAAGAAATAGAAGAAAAGAAGAAAAAGAAATAGAAGGAGAAGAAGTTAAAGAAGGAAGAGGAGGTGGAGAAAATATAGAAGAAGAAATAGAAGAATAAGAAAGAGAAGAAGAAGAAGAAAAAGCAGAAGAAGAAACAGAAAAAGAAATACAAGAATAAGAAAGAGAAGAAAAAGAAGAAGAAGCAGAAGAAGCAGAAAAAATAGAAGAAAAAGAGGAAATAGAAAAGGAATAGCGACAAATAGAAACACAACAAATGGAAGAAGAAGATGAACAGAACAACAACAAATAAAAACACAAGAAAAAGAAGGATGGGAAGGAGGCGGGGGAGAAGAAAAAAAGGAAGAAGTAGAAGAAGAGCCAAAAATTGAAGAAAAGGAAAAAGAACTAGTAGAAGAAGAGAAAGAGGAAAGAGAAAAAGAAGAGAAAGAGGAAAGAGAAGAAGAAAGAGACCGAATTTGTTTTACAGATGAATATCGATAACATGATGTCGACACTACTTAAGACGATCATATTTCAACAAAAGCACGAGAGATCGAATGTTTTTTTTTCTTTTGGTTTTTTGACGTGATTTGCATGAGATTACAAGCAGATCCACTTGACCTGCAAGTAAAATTCGCTTGCCAAGCAGATTTAGTCTTGTAAAACTGTAAGATAAGGTGGCAAAGCAAAGAAGGTGGGAAATGGTAGGGTGGAAAATCCAGAAAGAAAATTTGTTTTCTCTTCGTCAAAAATGGAACTGAAAGAAGTGGCAGAGATAAGTCTTTGAGCATCGGCAATGGCTTTAGTTTAAACCAAAATGAAACGCGAGTAAAATGAAAAGCGGAAAGAAAAATCCGAAGCAGGAAGAATTTGGTGCTTCGCTGCCAAAAATCATACATTAATTGAGTGAGTCGCAATACATTTTAGCTAACTATAAAATACGATAGAAATATATATATATATATTTATTAAAGACATTTTTATGTTTAACGTTGTTATTTATAGATACAAGTATTTAAGCAAATGCTCTGTTTATGATAAACAGTATTAAATAACATTTACCGGCCTGAACATCCGAGAAATTTTCATAGAAAATATTCGTTCTTTGACAGGATTTGAACCTGCATCCTTTACGGAACCGTCATTTACGCTGACGTGCCTAACCTCTGGGCCACAAAGAACCTTTTCGGTAGACAAGGTCAAATTTACTGCTTATAAACTTCAATCTTCCATGAATCTCGTACATTCATAACTGCTCTGGCGTATCAAATGTAAACAAATGACGTCATATATTAAGAAATGGACAAGGTCCGACAATTTATTTCTTAAAGACATTTTTATGTTTAACGTTGTTATTTAATAAATAAATTGTCGGACCTTGTATATATATATATATATATATATATATATATATATATATATATATATATATATATATTCTAGCGAGATTAATGCTCGACAAGCGTACATATAAATTTTAGATCAAAATAGAATTCTTTTCATTTTTCATTCAAAATACTCAAATTTTAGGAATACGTTTTCACAGCGTCGCCCACGTGACCACAACGTGACCATGTTTTAAATGGAGCGCTGATCTTATAAAACTTTCAGTTATCTGTTTGGATAAGTCTTGTTCTTATGTACATTGTTCGTATTGATAATGTTATATTTATAAATATGTCCTGAAGATGGTTTATTAGACCGAAACGTCCGACGTTGACATATTATCATTAAAACAGCATAATTGTATATAAGGATTTTTGTTTTGTTTTTTTTCCGTATATATTTTTCTTTATATATATATATATATATATATATATATATATATATATATATATATATATATATATATATTAGTTAGTGCAAAAATAATGACATAATAATGTCGTTTTTTGACGTTAAAAAATACGTCAAAAAACGACATTATTACGTCATTATTTTTGCACCAACCTAATATATGACAATTTGTAATTGGTACGGATAATTCTAAAGATGACATTAATCCAATGAGAGATCAATGTAAGTAACAGCGCAACATATAAGGCTAAATTAAGAAAACCCGGTAAAAATGCACCTCGGTTATAATTTATTTCATGAATATTGTTGTATTCAAACGAAAAGCTTTTATTAGGAATGGAATCTATCCATCCAGATAGATATATCGGGATAAAAAAAAGCCTTTTATCTTTTATTTGCCTTTTTATCACGGTTAACTTGTCTGGATGAAATGATTTCATTTCTGAAGAAAAAACTTTGGATCTGAAGAGATGAATATAAAAATAATCATGAAATAAATCATAACCGATATGGATTTTTAAGGTTTTCTTTCATCACACACACACACACATATATATATATATATATATATATACTAGTAATAATCTTATAAGTAGGAGTAATTATGCTCGCCCGGAAAAACTTCGGTGTCTTGAATTGGAAATGACCAAACCAATACCAAAGGGAAAAAAGTTATATAAAAAAGAAAGAACAAAGAACATGTACGTCAGCCGAAAATAATCGTCTAGCATCCAAGTCCAAACCCAAAGAAAACAAAAACCCGATACGAGTAAGCAAAATAACTAAATAAAGTGCTCAATACAATAAGTAGAGCAGACCTAGTTAAACGTAGAGAGCCAGACAAATCTACCAAGGTTTCACCTAAGCGGATCGTCAGGGATTCTTGACGATCCGCTTAGGTGAAACCTTGGTAGATTTTTTCTGATCTCTAATAATATATATATATATATATATATATATATATATATATATATATATATATATATATATATATATCCTTCAGAGTCGTGAAAGTCAGACAATTAAATGTGTAATATAAATGGAGGTGTCTATGTTAAGATTATGATGATAAGGAGAAAAGAGAAAGAGACACTCTTGACTTGAAGTGGTTAAGATTGAACACTTGACAGAAGCACCCACGTGGGAGTCTATTCCACAAATTGGCAGGTCTAAGGAAAATTGTGTGTAGAACTTTTCTCTTATATGTTGAAGATGGGAGAAATGAGGATGATACGACTCCTTGAGTGTGGCATACAATAACCTAGCCGTAAAGGTCTGAACTTGTGAAACTAAAGAATATGAGAACATCTGGATATTTGTTATAGTTTTGCGATAAATTAGAGACAGGCTTGTGTCCTTGGGGCAGAGGCTGTAAAATGAAAATGAAAAAGTTGTTTCCGCCAGAATGACGGAAAGGCGATTTTGAACAATATCAAGGCTTACAACTGATGATTTAAGGGCTTCCGGGCAGATATGGAAGCATTTCGTTTCCTCCTTACTTTTTATTGTTAATAGCCATAATTCCGTTAGCACTTTTTCTGATTTGCAATAAAGCTCCCTAATTGGCTTCCCTCAACCAACAGAACAGTATTGCAAATGTTTACACTGGTTCGTAAGGATGTGGGAGTAATCCAGAACAGATACTGAATAATAATCTATGACGGCTTGCAAACGGATAGAACAGGAATCGAGCCCGTAAACAAAAATAGAAATAGGCGCCTCCTCAATAGATGTCTTCAACCTCAACAGCGAGAAGTTATCATAAGGGAAGTGCAACCCTTACCAGGATTTATATATATATATATATATATATATATATATATGTGTGTGTGTGTGTGTGTGTGTGTGTGTGTGTGTAATGGACTCTCCCGTCGTTTTCGACGTATGAGTGTGAAGCAACTCAGTTCCTAGGAACCGACAGCCAGACACGCGTATATATGACTTGCTCACACTTTCTGAAGAGCCGAATACAGAGACCTGGTACACCGTGTGCCACAAGGCTCCCAAACGACCTTCCGCAGGTTTTGAATTCAGAGTTATTCTTCTCCTAGACCAGTTGCCATCCAAGTCTATAGAACCCCTAACCTGCTACTTATCCATAAGAAGAGGATTAAAACAATTTCAAAGGTATTTGCACATGAGTGTAGGGGATTCGAGTGGCTTTCGAACTCGTCTCCCCGAGCCCTCAGTCCGAGCATCTATCCATTACTCCACCGTACCTCCTTTCTATCTATCTATCTATCTATCTATATATATATATATATATATATATATATATATATATATATATATATATATATATTCCTCCTTATGCCCATCCGGGTTCCTCTCTGCCCGAAGGCAGAGAGTTCGACTGTTTAGCCGAAAAAGATTTCGGCTAGACTAACTAGTTTAACGTGGGTTCTCCGAAGAATAACTCTGAATTCAAAACCTGCGGAAGGTCGTTTGGGGGCCTTGTGGCACACGGTGTATCAGGTCTCTGTATTCGGCTCCTCAGAAAGTGTGGTTGATTCTACACAAAGCCTTCATCACTGTAAGCAAGTCATATATACATGTGTCTGGCTGTCGGTTCCTAGGAACTGAGTTGCTTCATACTCATACGTCGAAAACGACAGGAGGGTCCATTTATATATATATATATATATATATATATATATATATATATATATAAATCCTGGTAAGGGTTGCAGTTCCCTTATGATAACTTCTCGCTGTTGAGGTTGAATACATTGATAAGGCGCCTATTTCTATTTTTGTTTACGGGCTCGATTCATGTTCTATCCGTTTGCAAGCCGTCATGATTTCTGGATTATTATTCAGTATCTGTTCAGGATTAGTCTCACATCCATACCAACCAGTGTAAACATTTGCAATACTGTTCTCAGTGTTGCCCTCCGGTAGGGAATATCACTGTAGAACGTCAGCTGAAATGTAATTTTCAATATATACCTGTATGTTGCGTGTGTGAGTCTATCTAGTCTTATATATAGTTGTAAATAAATAGATGCATTCTCTCTCTCTCTCTCTCTCTCTGACACGCACATATACAGATATACATCCATGAAAGGTGTCTCCCGAAAATTGACATCATTTAAAACATCTGAGTGATGTAATGGAATAACCTGTCACCCCCATGAGTGACTACATTATAGGTAGTAATGACCTATAAGTATCTGTAAGTCAAAGGACTACAGAGTCTATCCGAAATCATTTCGGCTTGACGGTCGAATTCTCTGCCTCTGAGCAGAGAGGATACCGGACGAGGCTCCGCCGAAGGGCAGAGTCGCGTTCAGGGAAGTTGAACAACCATATCACGTTATGCTGGTTCTACGGGCATTTTTTGGCCAAGCCTACGGGCTCGGAGAACCCACGGTAAACCCAGCCTTGTGCCACAGGCAACCCTCGTGGTGGGCGTGACTAAATATACTAGCCGATATCTTTACGGTAAGACGGTCGAACTCTTTGCCTCTGAGCAGAGAGGAACCCGGACGTGGCTCCACCGAAGGGTAGTGTCACGTTCGGGGAGGTAGAGTGACCATGAACCCGTTTATACGGGTTCGAAAAGGAATATTTTTTGCCGATTTTTTTTTTCGGCCAAAAAATGCCCGTAGAACCAGCATAACGTGATATGGTTGTTCAACTTCCCCGAACGAGACTCTGCCCTTCGGCGGAGCCTCGTCCGGCTTCCTCTCTGCTCGGAGGCAGAGAATTCGACCGTCAAGCCGAAATGATTTCGGATAGACTCTGTAGTCCTTTGACTTACAGATACTTATAGTTCGTTACTACCTATAATGTAGTTACTCATGGGGGTGACAGGTTATTCCATTAAATCACTCAGGATTCAGAATTATTCTTCTCTTAGACCAGTTGCCATCCAAGTCTATAGAACCCATAACCTGCTACTTATCCGTAAGAAGAGGGTTAAAATTGAAGATGCCAAAAACAAACAAGTACAAAAGTTTAAATATCTGGAAGTGTTTAAGAGATTATGGGACGTGTGATACCAAAAACCGAAGGCACAGTAGCAAAAAGCCAATCCAAAAGCTTTGCAAATACTAAAACATCCCTTAGAAACGAAGGCGAGAGTGCTACGTAATATCAACCCCCTATATGACAGTTAATATTTTGAAGAATGTCTTCATAGGTGAAGAGAAGACTGGAGGTAACAAAAATGTCGGTCTACAGCGGATGTGGTTGAAGACGATTGACGGAATATTTGGGCAACGAGGAAGTTTTAAAGAAAACGAAAACATAAAAGAACCCTATCTTTAGAATCACAAAAAGACGGTTGAGATTTATAGAACGCAAATGGCGAATTAGAAAATGTGATATTCTGAAGGCATATCTGAGACAAAAAAGAAACTAAATTAAGGCAGCAAGTCTCTTGCCTGACAAACTTGTGTGAACATGCTAAAAGCTATATGAGATAAGATGTTGTGGAGAGCCCTGATCGCCCACATCCTAAAGGTACATGGCTCATACAAAAAGAATAAGCATGTCTGAATCCTAAAAGCTTACCCTTATAAACCAGCCTAGAATTCCTTATAATATATATATATATATATATATATATATATATATATATATATATATATATATATATGCTACATGCTACAATGGCATCAAGAACAAAGGCAACATCAAACATTGTCAAGCTGTTTCAGCCATATACTCCAAGAATCCACACTCTTGCACAATCTGTGGACTTCTTTGCAAATCACTAGCAGGACTGAAATGTCACTTGCGACTCACACACAAGGTTAAATAAACAAAGTTGTCGGAACCTCATACGTCGAAACCGACGGGAGTGTCCATCATATATATATATATATATATATATATATATATATATACCTTCTCAAATTTATTTATTAATCATAATGGTTTTACACCTATGCATACATCCATACATACATGCATACATGCCATGTCTTTCTGCTCGTTTTTGAGGAAGACTATCGCAAGATATCATTGCAAGACTTATTTGTGACTTAAGTTATCTGTGCATAAAAATGTTAAAGTCGAGAAAGACGTTTCATTGGTTCAGTCTCCCTCTCTGAACAAGAACAGAAAGTACACAAAAAGAAAAGCCAGTCAATATCATTCAACATACATACGTACATAGCACCTGTTCCGGTACGTCCAGAGAATTTAATCAAAGCCGAGCCTGGTCAGTACCAAGATGAGCCTGGATGTGTGGGTGGTGTAATGGATAATGGCTCGAAATTGTTAGTCGGCGAGCCGAGTTCCAATTCTCGTTGGGCTTGTTATGTTCCCTTTCACGCAGACACCCTTGGGAAAAGTACGATTCCACCTCATCTCCCGTAAGCTATGGGTTAATTAGTAAGACTTGCATCACTGAAAGCATTATTATATTAAATAATTCTGGATTTAAATAACCTGTTTCAGAAGCCATAAAAATAATCCTAACAATATAAAATGACTGACTTGAAATGTTTGTAATGCCCTTTGTAGGATAGACTTTGTAAATACAACAAAACTAACGCCTTCGAACAACACTCGATCAGACTAATTCTTATATATATTTTTTCCTTTGCCCGTCACGTGATCTAATTATTTCAAGATGAGGTCGATTGTAATTACTATCTGACGATCCGTGTTCAAACCCAAGTGTCGGCACTTTATTCCTATATGACAAAATGTCCACACATAGTACGTAGAAGGGTTTTTTTTTTAATCATTTACCACCAAGGAAGGCACAAAGTATATTTTGGATAGGAGTCATTCCCTTGTTAAAATTTAAATTTACCTTAAATCCAAAGGAAAATCAAATTCAGTTCTGGTAGGGTTGTACACTCCGGTGATCCGTTTGATCAAAATGAAATATAATTATCCAAGTAACCTCGGAGTCATTCTTTTGTTCCAATTTAAATTTAATTTAAATCAAAGAGAAAAAAAACTTTCAGGGGGGTGGAGGGGTCTTGTGCTGCCTGGAGACACCCTTCGATCAAAATGATCTGGCCGATGTGACCTCCATTTTCTGGTTTTCTCTTTCAATATTTTAGATAGGAGTCATTTCCTTGCTCAAAATTAAACTGAATTTAAATCAAAGCGAAAAACATTTCACTGGGAGGGTCGTGCAAAACAGATCCCTTTGATATGTACTAGATGCAATACTTGATTGAATGAATTGATGTGCAGATTTCAACATTGATATGACAGTTAAATTGTTGCCATAAATATGTATTGTAAGGCACTACCCACTGATTGGTGATTTCTTGCTTAACTTGACGTCCATATTGGCTTATTTTGATCTTGCTGATGTGACCTCCATCTTCTGGCTTTTTCTTTCTATATTTTGGATAATAGTCATTTCCTGGCTCAAATTTAAATTTAAGTTAAAAGAAAAAAATACAGGGGGTTTTAGCGCAAAAAAAGCTTGACCCGACAACCCCTCCTTTTGATATGTATTTGATGCAATACTTGATTGAATGATTTGATGAGCATATTTCAACATTCATATGACAGTTGAATTGTCGCAACATATATGTATTGTAAGACACTACCCACTGGTTGGTAATTATTGTCTCATTTTGATCTTGCCGATGAGACCTCCACCTTCTGGCTTTCTCCTTCTATATTCATTCCCTTGTTCGAATTTGAATTTAATTTAAATCAAAGAGAAATCAAAATTCAGTGAGTTTTTTTTGTTTTTTTTTTTTGCCCCCGGACCCTTCTTTGATCAAAACAAAATATGCTTATCCATATAGCCTGGGTAACGTAGATTCAGAATATATATAGTTATGAGGATCTGTCTTAAAAATCCTAGTTCGATAACAGACAGACAGACAGAGGCTTAAACTTTACATATACAGATTGTTTACCCTTAGCCTCAGATTTCTCGAATTCGATGAAATGCCGTAAATGTAACTTGGGACTTTATATATGACTAAATCGGTCTTATACAATGTATATCTGTTGTGCTTTCAGCAGTAGACACCAAAGTAGAAACCTCACCTCCCTAAATTGTATGTTACTTTTAGAACATTGTTTTTGTAGACTGGAGAATGTTGTTTAAATTCACCTCACCACAAAGATTATTTTGCGTATGAAGGATTGCATGAATTATTAATCGGACCATGAAGATAAAACTAAAACCAGTAAAATATTTTTTTTTATCTCAGAGCAATTAGGATATGGTTTCTCTGATACTTAGACAAAGAACTGAAAAATATTGAAAACATTCGCATCGCTACAATAGGCTACTTACTTCATGCTATCTTCAAAAAAAAGTAAGCTCTAAACAAAGACAAGAATTGTAAACTTAACAACAAAACTTGTACTGAAGAATTCAATTTAACCAAAAGAATCTACTTAAATAAGTGCAGATAAACTGAAAAAAATGTTGCAATAAAATATACCCTAACCACATCTGCTATGATAAAAGACTAGATAAGTAATCCAACTAATAAGACCAATAAATATGAAAAAAAAAAAATCGTCTTGGACAGCACGTGAACATAACCTGTTTAAATTCTTATGTAATAGTGGGACGTTACTTCTTGCTAGATAAAATACACACGAGAGTGGAAATGTTTTGCTGTATCTGTCTTCTCGTTGTCTATGTTTTTGAAAACGAAGACCCCCCCAAACCCATTCTTGGGGGAGCGGACCCCCCAGCTCTGAAACTGATAGACTTGGTGATATAAAGTCAGCCTCGACAATCCAGTAACTGACCATGAGAATGGATTACGGCAATAGTGAACGCTAGCCGCCATTTGTATGTAGAAATATATGCCGCATCCGCAATAATACTGGATAACCAAATTTGTTTTTAGCATAGGACAATGGGACTTTTACTGAGTCAAAACTTAATGTAATGGAAGACATAAACATAAAATCCCATTGCCATCCATTGGTATGTCTACAGCTGTCAACTCCGTCTTGTCAGCTAAGGCTATTTTTTTTGTATGTGTGTATGTGTATTTAATAGGATCAGGTAGGCTTTCCTGCAGCCCGGTCAATATTCCTCTCACTTCTCTTGGACCAGAGTAGAGTCTCACACCTTGTTTCTTGTTTAGGAAAGGGTTCCCGGAACTCTCCCTTCCTATATGTCTGGCGTCTGTACTGGAGATGCCGTGTACCTCCCGTGACGTGTGCATTTGTGGCAATGCCTCTTCGTTCTGAGGGTACACTGGTTTCTGTTTCCGACTGGATGTTAGGAGCCATAACTCTTGCGTAGCGTCTTGAGCGGCCGCTCTGATCAACAGTTGTACAATACCGGGGTGTCTCTAATGCCATGTCGCGCATCGATAGGTGTCCCTGCATTCCCCTCCGGTGGGCAACCCTGAGGCCGCATTATTTTGCAGGCTACGGCAATTTCCCTCTGCCCACGTCGCAGTCGATAACCGTCTGATTCTTCTACTTCATCCTTTCCCCTCCTTTTTTTTTTTTGGCTACCACAATATAAATTCTAAACCAGTCCTTAAAGATCACCTAAACCCTTTAACATTTCATTTTCTAACATCCGTGACATTAGAAACAACTTCTGCAGTGTGGAATCTTTCTTTGTTGCGAACTGCCAGGATATACTGGCTGTCTGTGAGACCAACCATGACTTGTCTATCCCCTCTTCTGACATCACGATCCCTGGCTACGTTTCACTCCTTAGAAAAGACTCCCAAACCCATATGCATGGCCTTGGCGTTTACGTCAAAGACCATCTCCTACTGGCTAGAGATCTGTCTCTTGAATCTCCAGACCATTTGTATATGTGTCTCTTCTCAGTGCTATTTCTTCTTCCTTTATCGCTCTCCATCCTCCCAAGACTGTGTTGTATTCGAATGCATTACTGACAGAATTGACAAGGCGCTCTCTCTCTCTCTCTCTCTCTCTCTCTCTCTCTCTCTCTCTCTCTCTCTCTCTCTGCTCACATATTCGTTTTTGGTGATTTTAGCGCCCATCATACCAAGTGGCTTAAAAACGCTACTACTGACCTTGCAAACCCTTAATTTTTCAATTTCTCAATCCCTTACGCAAATAGTTGACTTCTCCACACATTTCCCCTACAACCTGGATGGTAAGGCTTCTGTTCTTGGTGTATGTTTTATCTCCATCCCCGAATCCTGTAGCGCCACGCAGCTCTGCCCTCTTGGCAACTCCGACCATGCTATAGTGTCTGTCAACATCTCCTTCAACTCCACCCCCTGCAAAGATCCTCCTACCACTAGAACATCGTTCTGTTATCAACGAACAGACTGGGACTCGTTCCGGGACTTCATTCGCGACGTCCCCTAGGATGTTGTCTTCACACTCCCCGTTCAAGAACGTGCTTCCGAGGTCTCCTCCTGGAATTGAGGCTTTTATCCCCTCAAGGAAATATAAGGCTAAATCGCTCTCCTCCCCCTGGTTCTCCGCTGCTTGCTCAGCTGCCATTGCCCATAGGAATCACTTCTTCCACCTATACCGTAGCGACATGTCTGATTGCAATAGACGTCTCTTTGTCTCTGCCCGTAAAAAGTGTAAGCGTGTCCTCAATGAAGCAAAGTTACTATGTGCTGCTCGAATGAAAGTTTGAGATTCTGACCTCTTCTGCCAACAAGGCTGAATGCTTTGCTCGGAAATTCTCATTCAATTGGACGCTCGATTCTTCCGGTGTGCTCACACCCGATTTTCCCCATCAATTGAGCGACTTGCACATAACGCTGTCATCGGTTCTGGGCATCATCTCTAAATAAGTTCCCCAGGAGGCTAGTGGTGGAGATGGGATACCAGCCATTGTCCTGAAGAAATGTGCGCCTGAACTGGCCCCTGCCCTCTCCAAATTATATAACTACTGCCTCAATGAATCTTGTGTTTTCCACCCTGTTGGAAGTCTTAATCCATTGTTCCTGTCTTTAAGAACTCTAGAGACCCTTCTGACCCTTCTAATTACCGTCCTATCAGTCTCCTACCCCTCTTTGGCAAAGTCTTTGAAGTTTTAATCAACGTCGAAGTGGTTATGCACCTTACCTCCCATAGTATGCTGTCCGACAAGCAATATGGTTTCCGCTTTGCCCGTTCTACAGCTGATGTGCTTACGTCCATAACTGAAATTGTTTACCAAGCACTTCATAATAACGGAGACGTTCGTGCCGTGGCTCTAGATATCTCCAAAGCGTTTGATAGGGTTTGGCATGCTGTGCTTCTTTGCAAGCTTCAAGGTTATGGAATTACAGGTCGATTGTTCGACTTAATACAATCATTCCTGTCAAACCGTGCATTGAAAGTCGTTCACAACAGATTCTCCTCCAGGTCCTATCCTACGAACGCAGATGTTCCCCAAGGCTCTATCCTAGGCCCTACTCTGTTCCTTATCTTCATTAACGATCTTCCTAATATCATAGGTTACCAAGTAGGCATCTATGCGGATGACACTACAATTTGCTCCTGCCTCAAAAACAAATCTAGTGTCGCCGACAAAACTAACCACGCCGTTTGTCTAGAAAAGGACCTCGAATCGGTTGTGATCTGGGCCAGGAATTGGCTGGTTAACTTTAATGACTCAAAAACAAAACTGCTCTCTATTACTCACGAGAGAGAACCATCCCTGCCTCCCATTAGAATGTCTGACGCTCAACTCCACGAGAGCACCTCTTTGCCACTGCTCGGTCTCACATTGTCCGCCGACCTGAGATGGAAAGAATGCATTGAGTCAAGAGCTTCGTCCACCGCAAGGAAAGTCGGCTCCTTGTGCGGCGCCAGGAAAATTTTCTATCCGGAGTCAATCCTTCAAATCTAAAAATCAACCATTCGCCCTTGCATGGATTATTGTCGCCATATATGTTCTGGAGCTCCTTCTGTTTGTCTCAATGTCCTCGATAAAATCCAAAGGTGGATATGCAATGTAAATTGGCCCTGACCTGGCATCTCGTCTGCAGGCGCTCTCTCACAGACGTGCTGTTGCCTTTCACTGTCTTTTTTACAAATACTTTCATGGTAACTGCTCCAATGAGCTGCTTTCGCTGGTTCCCAGATTTCATGAATTTAAGCGTTCAACTAGGCTGGCATCTCGCTCTCACCCTTTCACTGTCGAAACTGTTAAATGTAGCCGTCTCTTCTACTCCGATAGCTTCATGCCTCGCACTTCTCGGCTGTGGAAATCCTTCCCCTTTTCCTGTTTCATTGATAGCTATAATCTCCAACTATTCAAATGTAATATCAATCGACATCTCCAGATGCCTTAATCTATCCCCTATCCTTCTCTTCATCTTTTCCTCTATCACTTCTGTTTTCTCTCACTCCAACTCACTGTAACCCTTTACGTGCTAGTTGCTTCCCGCGTTACTTGGGGTTGAATGCTTATATATATATATATATATATATATATATATATATATATATAAGTGAAAAAAAAATTTACTTAAATAATATTTAAATATAAAATTTTTTAAAATCGTAATATAAATATACTTGATATAAAAAAATAATTTTACTTAATGTAAGTAATTCTAATACATTTACTTCTATTAAATGAAATATAGTCTATAAAAACTAATAAGGAAAATATTTTAAAGTTTCAATTAAAATTTTGTAGTTAATTAAAATGAATTCTAACCTAAACTTCTTTTAAATTGAAATTAATAAATAAAGTTTACTTAATCAGAGAAATGAATTAGCTATTTTTACTGTAAGTGGAAAAAAAAATTACTTAAAAAACTTTACTTAAATAATATTTAAATATAAAATTTTAAAATCGTAATATAAATATACTTGATGTAGAAAAATAATTTTACTTAATGTAAGTAATTCTAATACATTTACTTCTATTAAATGAAATATAGTCTATAAAAACTAATAATGAAAATATTTTAAAGTTGTAATTAAAATTGTAGTTAATTAAAATGAATTCTAACCTAAACTTCATTTAAATTGTATTTAAATAAATAAATAAAGTTTACTAAATCAGAGAAATTAAAATTTTACTTAAATAATATTTAAATATAAAATTTTTAAAAATTTGTAATATACTTGATGTGATAATAATTCTACAAACTGTAAGGGATTCTAATTACATTTAATTGTTCTTAAAAGCAATATAGTATAATAAAAATTAAAAGTAAAAATATTTCAAATCGTAGTTAAATAAAAAGTATTCTTACCTAAACACCCACCAAAAATCTTTAAATATTCGAAGGGAAAAAATTCCGTAAGAATTTTAGCCGTTAACAATAAATTTTTAAAAAAAATCCAGACGACACACTTTTAACGGATGTTAGATTTCATTGAAAAATACATCCCTACCCGCTACCAAAACGTAACAATAACTGATACATTAAAATATCGACTTATTGAACACCCAGACACCCCTTGTCTAGCAAAATAGATTTATCTGTAACCTTGGAAACGTGAATTATGATTTTAGCTGTGTCTTTAAAACCCAGTAATTTTAAAAGTTACTCCAATATTCGCTTGAGGAGGGAATCGAACTAATGTCTTTAATTTAATTACAAAATTAAATTCGAGGCTTTTAGCTTCCATTTTTGAAACATGGTTAGAACTGTGTAGCGGAAAAAACATATTTTAAATCAATTAATTTATAATATTAATGCTCTGTAAATTTACATTGAGCACTATTTTGTAAAAATAAAAATATCTATAAGAACACCGGATTATATATCTTACTGTTCTTTCTTTTTATTTATACACACACACACACACACATATATATATATATGTATGTGTGTGTGTGTGTGTAGCTGTGTGTGTATATATATATATGCATATATATATATATATATAGAGAGAGAGAGACATATCTTGTTATCTGTAGAAAATTGATCAAGAAAATATATATATAATATATATTATATATATATATATATTACATATATTTTATACATATATATAATATATATATATATATATATATATGTAATATATATGCAATTATTTTACATAAAGAATATTTCGATGAAAAATCGCATATATATTTTTTTGAAAAAATTCTTTTCACCATTATTATTATTTTTATTATTATTATTAATATTATTATTTATATTTTTATGTTTTAATTTTTATCCCTTCATGAAAAGTGTGAAAAAGTATCAATAATTGAATGGTGACATGCATCCGATGGGAAATTTTGAATCGTATACAAAAATCTGACCGTCTCTCTTTATTTTTTCGTTTTTTTTTCTCTCTTTTCTCTACCCCTTTCTCTCTGTCTCTTTTCTTTCGAATCCTCTGTGTCTTTCCTCTTTTAGCATCTAAAAATCCTTTTCTAATTTATTGTGCTGCTCTCAAAATATGGTCAACATGTCTGCAAAGTAAAAATGTCTTTCTAAACAAAATTTGAAATATCACTTTCTTTTTTCATGAACGAGGGCCCATCTGAATACATACCTGTTCTGACTGCGCCTCTGCCTCTTTTTAAATCTGCATAAATTATGATTAAATCCTTCTTTGAACCTGATAAAATATTTATCCATTCATTTGTGTTTAATGGTTTAGTTATGAAGATTTGGAAACGATTTTTTCGATGGTAATGAAATGTCACACTGGTATTGTGAGTCTTTGTTTTCATAATTAATATTTGCTCTGTTTTTTTGTTTTTTTGACAGAGATTTTTCTAGGTTTATAACCTCTTATTTTCCATGTGGATTACCAAATATTATCATTGAATATACATATATATATATATATATATATATATATATATATATATATATATATATATATATATATGTTGAATGTATTGATAATGTAAAATTATAACTTTCATATGATAATACCAATAGTGTCTCTGGTAATAATGAACACTACATTTTAGTTTAAAAACACACCCTGAGAATGACATTGTGTGAGTGTTGAAGAAAACAATACATATGGTATATTTCTTTTAACACCGACACAAGAAAGATGAACGAATCCTGTTGAAAATATGCTGGAAAAACTTGTCTAAATTATTCAACGAAAGTTGCCTCAATATATATATATATATATATATATATATATATATATTAGCAGTTGAGCCCGGCGTTGCCCCGTGATGTAACAGTAAGAGATAGATCAAGTATCGACCATCATAAAGACTGAAAAATAAAATTGACAAAGATTATTGTTTAAGGTTGTCTCGAATATTACTTTAAAAAGGAGTGCTGATGTCGTAATTCCAGGGTGCGATGGGTAAATTGTTGCCTTATTATATTGTTAATTCCGTGCATGCGCGTTCTCTGTATTTATTTTTTCCTCCAGAAATTTGGAAATGGCATGCGGATCTGCTTGGCATTCGCACCGAAAGCGCCAATTAGCCGTCTCTTCTACTCCAATAGCTTCATATCTCACACTTCTTGCCTGTGAAACTCCCTCCCCAGTTCTTGTTTTTCTGAAAACTATAATCTCCAACTATTCAAATGTAACATCAATCGACGTCTCCAGATGCCCTGATCTATCCCCTATTCTTCTCTTCATCCTTTCCTCTATTAATCCTCTTTGATCCCGCTCCAACTCTGTAACCCCTTGCGTGCTAGTGGCTTCCCGCCTTGCTTTGGTTTGAATGTTTAAAAAAAATACGAACTTTTCAGAGTGTTTGGGTGTCAATCCGAGGACAGTGCAGATGATTTGAAAGGAGTTGGTTTAATCTAATGCTGATTACGAAGGTACGCCAGCTTAGAAAACTCACTATGATCGTTTTGATAAGAAAATAATTTCCAAATTTGTTGGTAAGGACAGACTCAACACGAAGGCCTACGTGAAGTGTCCTGAGGAGATAGTGATGCCTTTGATCAAGACGGTAGCAACTGGAAGACTCTATGTCAGTTAACAAGACTGACCCATGACATACAAACAGGAGAACCCAGTAATGGCTGTCAGTCAATTCCTGCGACAACCTCACCCTTTACATCTGGCCACCTAACTCCCCAAACTGCAAAGCCCTTGATTATTATGTGTGGGTCAGAGTTGAACGAGAAACCAACAAAATTCTTTTTAATACCAAAGATGAACTGAAGGCAAGTATTATGGCAACATTTACCAACTTAAACAAGGAGACAGTCCAGAAGTGTTGCAGGAGATTCCGAAATCGTCTATAGACTATGGTTGAATGCGATGGTGATTTTATTGAATAAACTTACTCTGTAGTATTTCAAGGTATTTCTGTGTAATTTGGGTAAATATATCTGTTAAAATGAGATGTCAGTGTTATATTCATTTTTTCGTAGTTTAGAAGACAATTTATCGCACGCTGTATATATCTTATCATAAATGAAAGGTCTATTTTAAATGCACTTAACAACAGTATTTTTTTTTAAAAAAAAGATTTCAATGTTTGAATGATGTCGGATATTTTATCATTGTCACTGCCATTTATTTATCCAAATACTTTTGATCCGTTCTTCGAACAGATCTCACCTCCTTTCGACAGACTAAACGTCGCAAGCCTCTTGTTACACTATCATTATTCCTTACCATCGCATTTAAATTTTTCAAAGATCAATGTTGTCTAGAAATCAAGAAGCCAGAATAGAATCCATGAAGTTACAAGGGGATACTACGTGTGATATAATTAGGAAAAACAAACATTACTAAGGATCGAGAACAATATAAGATTGATCAAAAAGACATTGCATTTAAAGTTTCGAAGATCAAACGGAGCCGGTACAGTATTGCTCAAGCTAGAAGTCCAATAAAAGAAATGGTTAGCGTAGAATTTACGGATGCATCTAGTCGTTTCAACTGTAAAATTATAAAATATTGCAGCTAATCTATGACTGCTTTTAAATTCCTCGTCTAGAAGAAAATGTCATCAGAACAATTATCATGACAATTACCATGAATTACCTGTTGGAACGCAGGTGTGTAGCTTGACGAGCTACATCCCTGCGTTCCAACAGTCCTGATATCCACAGCTAAGACTCATCATGTCATATAAATTGGGTCAGATCAGTCTGATTCCCTTCGTAATATATTAGTAAGAAGGAATTTCTATTTAGATAGCTTCTTCCAAAGAACAGCCTCTTTCGAAGAACACAATATACTTTCCCAATCACTAAAATTTTGACATCTTCCAAGTTAACAGTTATATTTTTTTTTAAATATCCTCATAAACATTACTTTCACTACTTACTCAAAAATTGTAGCCAGAAACCTTCCATCTCGAGCAGACTTCTGTTCTTTTCGAGTTTGATTTGAGGCGGTGGTAAATAAATATTTCTTTTTCTGTAGAGATATCATCGACTTCCAAATTCGAGGCTGACCGGTGTTCCTAGGATGATATAATTTACAATTTCTTTGAAGGTTTACGCGATGTAGACGGCGTTTTGCTTTTTTGGTCTTCACAATTATTTCTTCTTGTTTTCAGTGTTCAACAATTGTAATTGCCAATTAAATATGACAGAAAATACTCTCAAAAGCATTAAGATTTAACATAATTCTCAGTCAAACAGAGGTTTTAATTAGAAATTAATTTGTCTATTTTGAGTTTCTGAAGCTGTTAATCATACACTTTGGAAATTGACATTTTTAATCTAACTCCACGGTTTGGCTAAAAAAAAAAAAAAAGAACATAAAAACGGCTTTAAACTTGACGATAACAATTTTTTATCGTCTAAATGTTTGTTATTATTAAAAGAAAGTTTTTATTATTTCTTTTTTTACATTTTTTTAATATTTGAGCTTCTTCTGCAGCCAAATTATTTTCTTCGTTATTTCTCAGTGCTATAAATTGTAAACGATTCCTTCTCTTCCAACATCATCCTACCGTGTGATTTTTGAAATCTCTAAAGCATTTTTGATATTCTATATCTTTTCTTTTTGACAGGCGATTTGATGGTTTTGACAAGTTGGTCTTGTAAGTCACAAGAAAAACTGGTTTTCATTTGTTTTATACTTCTCAGCAGTTGATAATGACACAAATTCCACCTTTGACGCGGAATTAAGTACCTAGACTTTCATAACGTCGCAATAATAACAACGATGATTAAAATAACTTCCCTGATAATCACTGATTAATATTTGATAGCTTCGACTTTTGCAACTGCTATAGCATGTCACTACAATGGACATTGGGGATTAAATCAAAATGAAAAAAATCAAAATCTATTTTTGACAATATTCCATCTATCTTTTTCTCTTTCCTCACATCTTTCCCTACATCTTTTCTCTCGTCGTTTCTCACGCCTTTCCTCACGTCTATTCTCTCGTATTTTCTCACATCTTTTCCCACGTCTTTCCACGTTTTTCCTTTCGTCTATCCCCACATCTTTCCTCACGTTTTGGCACACCTTTTTCATGGCTTTTCTCACGCTTTTCCTCGTGTTTTTCACATCTTTTCCCACGTCTTTCCACTCGTTTTTTTTTTTCACGTTTTTCCTCGCGTCTTTCCTCGTGATTTTCCTCACGTTTTTCCACCTATCTTTCCTAAATTTATTCATATCGTCTTTCCTCACGTTTTTCCTTTCGTCTATCCTCACAATCTTTCCTCACGTTTTGGCACACTTTTTTCATGGCTTTTCTCACGCTTTTCCTCGTGTTTTTCATCTCGTCTTTCCACTCAGCTCTCACGTTTTTCGTCTCGTCCTTCCAATCATCTCTCACGTCTTTCATTTCGTTTTTTCACTCACGTTCTCCTCGCGTTTTTCAACCTGTCTTTCCACTCCTCACTCCTCACGTGCTTCGTCTTTCTACTCGTCTCACCTCACGTCTTTCCCTATATTTTTCGTCTCGTCTTTCCACTCGTCTTTTCTCACGTCTTTTATCTCGTCTTTCTATTCATCTCTCTTCACGTTTTTCGACCCGTCTTTCCACTCACCTCTCCTCACGTGCTTCGTCTTTCTACTCGTCTCTCCTCAAGTCTTTACGTTTTTCGTCTCGTCTTTCGACTCGCCTTTCCCCACGTCTTTCATCTCATCTTTCCACTTGTCTCTCATTACGTTTTCATCTCGTCTTTCCACTCGTCTCTCTTAACGTTTTTTTTTTAATCTCGTTTTTCATCCGTATCTCCTCACGTCTTCGTCTCGTCTTTCCTCACGTTTTTCATCTCATCTTTCCACTCGTCTTTCTTCAGGTCTTTCGTCTCGCCTTTCCACACGTCTTTCCTCACCTCTTTCGTCTCGTCTTTTCTCAAGTTTTTCATCTCGTCTTTCGACTTGTCTTTCTCCACATCTTTCCTTGGGTCTTTTCCTCACGTATTTCTCTTCGCCTTTCCTCACATGTTTCCGCTCATCTTTCCTCCTATTTTTTAATCAAATCTTTTCATATCGTCTTTCCTCGCGATTTTCATGCCGTCGTTCCGCTCGTCTCCTAGTAGAAAATCAGTATCACGTCTAACGCAGCCTCACTCTCGTAGTTGGAATTTTAGAAGTCGATATTTGAAAATTATTTGCCTCGTCCTCTACCCTAAAGAAGTGTTACACTCAGATAAATGCTGGACGTGTAAATAAGATTAAAGATTTACTGAACTGTTCTTTTGGAATAATATGACCGAAAAAACATAAATTAAATAATTTCAGTCTTAAGCGAAAACAAAAGTGGAAGAAATGATACAATTTGGATGAAAAGATTTTAAGAATAATAAGCTCAGTGAAACTGCTTCTTTTCCTTGTCCAAATAAGTGAAGTCAAATAAATTTATCCAAAATCGATGATCGTATTTAAAACGAGCTCGAAAGACAAAGTAATTCATAACTATTTACCCGATAATCCTTCATAAAAAAACAAAACAGATTAACAGACGGATTTGGATCGATTTTACTTTCTCTTAACAACAACATAATATGGTGTAAGTTTAATATTTTTTTTAAACAGTAATCTCTAAGTTTCTTAAAAAAAAAGCAACATCACTAGAAGATATTTGTGAAAATGCAAGTTCTCTCCCAAGAAAGGCAAACATAATAATTGAGGCCTTTTTTTCGATTTGATAATCCCGGAATACTAAATAAACCTAATCGTCTTCAAACCGGAAATACGACAGTATGATAAATGATATTTTGTGAAAATGCAAGCTCTCTCCTAAGAAAGGAAACCATAGTAATTGAGGCCTTTTTCGATTTGATAGTCCCCGAATACTAAATAAACCTAATCGCCTCCGATCCGGAAATACGACAATATGATTCGATATTGTTCAAGAAAATACAGTTTAATCCTCAGAGAATTCACTGGACATAAAAAAAATAGTCGCTTCGTCAAGAAATGACTTTTACCTAATTATGTACTGCAAGCAAATCCAAAGCTGTAAATATCAGAAATAATGTACAGATTGGATATCTTCTTGCTTGCCAATATTTTACTGACGTAATTTTCAGATACAGCATTGACGACATTCTCTGTATGACATTTCTGTAGAATTTAAGCGAACAAGTAAAGAAAGTTGATACGGAGTCACGTGGGAGGGAACTACCATTAAAAAAAATGGTGGCAGCAGTTGGCAAGAATAGCAAAGACCGAACCTCGTAATGCTTCTAGTCGAGTACCTCACGATCACTTACGTGCTAATACCATAGGAAGGAGTATCAATCAATCTCTTCTAAACCAACAGCTATGGGTTAAATAGTAGAACTTGTATGATAAAATAATTGTTCATTTGCATAAAAAAATTATTCATACAATCCCCAAAATATATTTCGGCTTTCAACGACCCGGAATTGTTGGCACTCAAAATAATTCCTTCAGAAATAATTTAGATCTCGTTCTCAAAGATAACGAATATGGTTACCTTAACCACATTTACCGTTCTTAATTTTAATCAAAGCTTCATTGAAGAAATTTCGTAGATAAAGCACATGAGAATTCTTTATTAAGTATAAACTGTGACATTTACTAATCTTAATTTTAATCATTTTCCCATTGAAGAGAATTCGTGGATGGATCATATGAGAATTCGTTGTTAATTATAGACGGTGAAATTTACTGGTCTTTATTTTAATCAATATCCCATCGAAGAGATCTTGTAAACGTACCCCTTGAGGCTTCTTTATTAAGTATAGACTGTGACATTTGCTGGTCTTAATTCTAATAAACATATTGAAGAGATCTTGTAGACGGATCCCGTAAAGCTTTGTATGAGATTTAGATTCTAAAGCAGTGCTTCATCGTCCATAAAACATTTTAGGTAAAGAACAAGATTCTCTTTCTATTATTCCCTAAACTGTCTTCCATACTATGAAACGGCATCACCATTAGCAATACGATTAATTGATTGATTTGTTTTTGTGTCTAATGAATCCTTTGTGGATTATTTAAAGACGACACATATTGTAGAATGGAGGGGGTTGAATACAATGTTCATTGTTTCTAAGTGGTACGCCATCTATTAGAAAAAAAAAGAGAAATAAAAGGAAAAAATTGAATAATGAAAGAGAAAAATGAAGGAAGGAAGGAAGGAAGGAAGGAAGGATCCGAGTGAGAGAGGAAGGAAGGAAGGAAGGAAGGAAGGAAGGAAGGATCCGAGTGAGAGAGGAAGGAAGGAAGCAAGGAAGGAAGGAAGGAAGGAAGGAAGGAAGGAAGGATCCGAGTGAGAGAGGAAGGAAGGAAGGAAGAGAGGAAGGAAGGAAGGAAGTGAGTGAGAGAGGGAGGAAAGAAAGAAGGAAGGAAGGAAGGAGGGAGGAGAGAGGAAGAAAGAAGCAAAGGAAGGAAGGAAGGAAGGATCCGAGTGAGAAAGGAAGGAAGGAAGGAAGGAAGCGAGTGAGAGAGGGAGGAAAGAAGCAAGGAAGGAAGGATCCGAGTGAGAGAGGAAGGAAGGAATGAAGGAAGGAAGGAGAGAAGGAAGGAAGGAAGGGAGAGAGGAAGGAAGGAAGGAAGGAAGGAAAGAAGGAAGGAAGGAAGCGAGTGAGAGAGGGAGGAAAGAAAGAAGGAAGGAAGGATCCGAGTGAGAGAGGGAGGAAAGAAGCAAGGAAGGAAGGAAGGAAGGAAGGAAGGAAGGAGAGAAGGAAGGAAGGAAGGGAGAGAGGAAGGAAGGAAGGAAGGAAGGAAGCGAGTGAGAGAGGGAGGAAAGAAAGAAGGAAGGAAGGAAGGATCCGAGTGAGAGAGGAAGGAAAGAAGCAAGGAAGGAAGGAAGGAAGGAAGGATCCGAGTGAGAGAGGAAGGAAGGAAGGAAGGAAGGAAGGAGAGAAGGAAGGAAGGAAGGGAGAGAGGAAGGAAGGAAGGAAGCGAGTGAGAGAGGGAGGAAAGAAAGAAGGAAGGAAGGAAGGATCCGAGTGAGAGAGGGAGGAAAGAAGCAAGGAAGGAAGGAAGGAAGGAAGGAAGGAAGGAAGGATCCGAGTGAGAGAGGAAGGAAGGAAGGAAGGAAGGAAAGAAGGAAGCGAGTGAGAGAGGAAGGAAGGAAGGAAGGAAGGAAGGAAGGAGAGAAGGAAGGAAGGGAGAGAGGAAGGAAGGAAGGAAGCGAGTGAGAGAGGGAGGAAAGAAAGAAGGAAGGAAGGAAGGACCCAAGTGAGAGAGGGAGGAAAGAAGCAAGGAAGGAAGGAAGGATGGAAGGAAGGATCCGAGTGAGAGAGGAAGGAAGGAAGGAAGGAAGGAAAGAAGGAAGGAGGAGAGAGGAAGGAAGGAAGGAAGGAAGGAAGGAAGGAAGGAAGGAAGGAAGGAAGGGGAAGGAAGGAAGGAAGTGAGAGAGAGGGAGGAAAGAAAGAAGGAAGGAAGGAAGGAAGGAGGAGAGAGGTAGGAAAGAAGCAAGGAAGGAAGGAAGGAAGGGATCCGAGAGAGAGGAAGGAAGGAAGGAAAAAAAAAGGATCCGAGGAGAGAGGGAGGAAAGAAGCAAGGAAGGAAGGAAGGAAGGAAGGAAGGAAGGGAGAGAGAGGAAGGAAGGAAGGAAGGAGGAGAGAGGGAGGAAAGAAGCAAGGAAGGAAGGAAGGAAGGAAGGAAGGAAGGAATGAAGGAAGCGAGTGAGGGAGGAAAGAAAGAAGGAAGGAAGGAAGGATCCGAGTGAGAGAGGGAGGAAAGAAGCAAGGAAGGAAGGAAGGAAGGAAGGAAGGAAGGATCCGAGTGAGAGAGGAAGGAAGGAAGGAAGGAAGCGAGTGAGAGAGGGAGGAAAGAAGCAAGGTAGGAAGGAAGGAAGGAAGGAAGGATCCGAGTGAGAGAGGAAGGAAGGAAGGAAGGAAGGAAGGAAGGAGAGAAGGAAGGAAGGAAGGGAAGGAAGGAAGGAAGGAATGAAGGAAGGAGGAGAGAGGGAGGAAAGAAAGAAGGAAGGAAAGGATTCGAGTGAGAGAGGGAGGAAAGAAGCAAGGAAGGAAGGAAGGAAGGATCCGAGGAGAAAGGAAGGAAGGAAGGAAGGAAGGAGGAGAGAGGGAGGAAAGAAGGAAGAAGGAAGGATCTGAGTGAGAGAAGGAAGGAATGAAGGAAGGAAGGAGAGAAGGAAGGAAGGAAGGGAGGAAGGAAGGAAGGAAGGAAGGAAGGAAGGAAAGAAGGAAGGAAGGAAGAGGAGAGAGGAGGAAAGAAAGAAGGAAGGAAGGATCCGAGGAGAGAGGGAGGAAAAAGCAAGGAAGGAAGGAAGGAAGGAAGGAAGGAAGGAGAGAAGGAAGGAAGGAAGGAGAGGAAGGAAGGAAGGAAGGAAAAGGGAGGGAGGAAAGAAAGAAGGAAGGAAGGAAGGAGGAGGAGAGAGGAAGGAAAGAAAGAAGGAAGGAAGGAAGGAAGGATCCGAGGAGAGAGGAAGGAAGGAAGGAGGAAGAAGGAGAGAAGGAAGGAAGGAAGGGAGAGGAAGGAAGGAAGGAAGGAGGAGAGAGGGAGGAAGGAAAGAAGGAAGGAAGGAAGGATCCGAGGAGAGAGGGGAGGAAAGAAGCAAGGAAGGAAGGAAGGAAGGAAGGATCCGAGGAGAGAGGAAGGAAGGAAGGAAGGAAGGAAAGAAGGAAGGAGAGAGGAAGGAAGGAAGGAAGGAAGGAAGGAAGGAGAGAAGGAAGGAAGGAAGGAAGGAAGGAAGGAAGGAGGAGAGAGGGAGGAAAGAAAGAAGGAAGGAAGGAAGGAAGGAAGTGAGAGAGGGAGGAAAGAAGCAAGGAAGGAAGGAAGGAAGGAAGGAAGGATCCGGAAGGAGAGGAAGGAAGGAAGGAAGGAAGGAAGGAAGGAAGAGGAGAGAGGAAGGAAGGAAGGAAGGAAGGAAGGAAGGAGAGAAGGAAGGAAGGAAGGAGAGGAAGGAAGGAAGGAAGGAGGAGAGAGGGAGGAAAGAAAGAAGGAAGGAAGGAAGGAGGAGGAGAGAGGTAGGAAAGAAGCAAGGAAGGAAGGAAGGAAGGAAGGAGAAGAGAGGAAGGAAGGAAGGAAAAAAAGGGAAGGAGAGGGAGGAAAGAAGCAAGGAAGGAAGGAAGGAAGGAAGGAAGGAAGGAAGGAGAGGAAGGAAGGAAGGAAGGAGAG